TTTTATTTATTAAGAAATGAGTATGTGGGGAAAAAAAACACTCAGAACACAAAGAATTTATTTATGATGGTATCATTCCTGCATGTGCAGTTCAAAGCACGGACTCCTGGGGTGGAGACGGGTGACTTCAGCTGGGCTGTGGGGTCAGGTTTGATAAAACAGCTACAGCTTCTGAGTGAGGAGTTTTATTTTAATCTGGAAGAAGCAGTGAGTGAGCATAGGAGGGTCCTCCCTCTTCTCAAGCCTTCATTTCCTCTCAATGCTGTTTCTAGGGTTATCAAGGGTAGCTCCTGAGAGCAAACACTCAATACATGGAAGCAACTGATATGACAGTCACTCATTAACGTTGGATACGATGAAGGGCAAAATGGCAAGAGAAAGACGTAAATGGCCGTATGGGGGCATACTGGTTTCTCTAATAAGATCATCTTTATTTTAATGGCCAACCCTGCAAAACAGAAAGACCAGTGCTCCACCCCAGAGATGATCATAGATCTGGTGACAGCCCAGATTTGGGTACAACCTGTATGTCAAACTGAAAGGTGATTCCCAAATGCAAACTACTGTATAGGACTCCTGAGAACTCTGACCTAAGAAAACCAGAACACTAAGTGAAGAGGAGAAGGTGTGGCTTGTGAACCAGGAAGTGTTTCCTCCTTTCCCGAGGTCAGCAAAAGCAGTTCCAGAAAACAGTGGAGGGCCTGGGAGAGCTAAAGTCACTGGAGCAGAAGGCCAGTGGCTCACTGAGTGGTAGAAGTGGCATGGTTACTTTGTGCCCTCTGCTCAGCACGGGCTCCTCTCTGGGGTCCGCAAGCACACAGCCTGCTTTTGTCAATTTCTCTTGGACTGGTCTTTGCTGCTCCTACCTAGTAATTATACTGATGCCCATATGCAGAGGTCACCTTGGCTCCCTGAGCCCAAATTAGCCAACAGAGCAGGTTAAAAAGCAGTTACAGTAGCCCATAGGAAATCACAATGGACTGCAACTAACACAGAAAATACAATTACCATAATCAATACACTTTAAGCACATCAAAATGAATATTTCCACATGTCAAAATGGTTCCAGATTCACAGAGTCACCCCCTAAACAGAAAACACATTTAGTTTTCATAATGACACTGTGTGCGTCTTGCCTTATGTTGGATCCTTGACTCTTTTCTTACACTTCTGTGGGGTTTTGATTTTTTTTATAAGAGGATTAAAAACATTTTAATTTTTTTCACCTGGTCCTGTTGCTCCACGTGGCATTTGCATCTGCCTCTGGTTTGTTTGTCTCTGGTCCCTCCTCCCGCTGCGGCCGCTGCCGCTTTCACCTCCTGTAATTTATCTTGGCCTTTGCTTCTCATCCGCCGAGTTCACACTTCACATTATCCAGCCTGCCTTTGATTCCGCTCACTTACGGGGCTTATTCTCCTCACAGTCTGCCTTTCACTTCAAATAATTTAGGGCTGCGCTTTCAAAATTTATATCCGACATAATGATATCCATATTAATACGTCCACTCTTCCTCCCCTGCCTTTTCAATCCCTCTCACCCTGGCTGTGCTTTCTCAGACACAACATAAAACAAAAGTCTTTCATAATTTTGATTGTTATAACTTCTGTCACATAATAATGCCTCTGATCTTCTTCTTTGGTGACTGAACCGTTTTTTTCTCCTGCTTCAATCCTTATTGCCTCGAGGTTTGCTTGGGCTCCGCCCCGCCCCTTTGGCACATCAGTGTCCAGATGAATGATCATTGCCCGTGGAGATCTTGCTTTCCCTACTGGCTTGGCTGTGCCTGTGGGGTTTCAGAAATGCTGCCTTTACTCGGCAGGCTGAGAAAGGGGTCTGGGTTGTCTTTTCTGTCAGAAAGGGCTGGTTCCCCCTCACTGACAGCTTACTGGACATGCTGCAGTGACTCTCCATCACAGCAATTACTTATTAGTCATTGACACTCAGTAGACACTGAGAGGAGCTGTGACTTCTGACGAGGCCTCTCCTAGTACTGCCCACCTCAAGCAGGGCAACAGCATAGTAAATGTGTGGTTACCCCGACACACAACCCATGCACAGTCCATCTAGTGGGAAGTTGCATTTCTTCTTCTACCATCACTGCCATGCTCTAGGCTGGTAAGACAGCCTTGCAACAGACTGGCCCAGCTGCTGTCCTCCTTTAATCCATCCTTGCATTTAAGGTTTCCTTTGGAAAGCATCGATGACACCCAATTGCTCGGTCCTTAAATTCCACCGACAGCTTCCCGTTCTGGGAGCACACACTTGGTTTGTCTGTTGTCAAACACAGTTCCCTGCTCTCTGTGAGCTCCCAGTGTCAGGGACCAGAGCCTGGAGATTCTGCACCTCAGACTGCCTTCCAGTGGAGTTTGTTTCACAGAGCACTGTGCACTAGAGCTGTTCCAGAAGAACAGAGAAGGGATGTCCGTGCAGGCGGCATGGTAGAATGAAGTTGGTGCAGCGGCTTTCAGGACCACGGAAGAAAGATTCCAGGCCAGCCTGGGCTCACTGGATAAAGTTTAAGAACCCTAGAATTTTAAGACGAGCTCTAAGAAAGCATACTCCCAGAGCAGCACTTCCAACCCCAGACAACGAGGAGACTCTCAAACTGAAATTCCAGGCCACTTATTCTCCTATCTACATTTTTGTTTCTTGGTTGTACTTTAACTGTTCCCTAGAGACCATGTGCTAAAGGCGTGGGCCCAGTCTATGGTGCTACTGGGAGATGTGGGATCACTTAGGAGCAGGCAGGCTAGAAAGAAATTAGGTCATTGGGGTGTGGCCCTGGAAGGTGACTTGGGGACCCTGGTCTGCCTTTCTATACCTGTTTCTGGTCACCATGGACTACAGCAGCTTTGTCCCACCCCATGTTCCCACTACGACATCCTGCTTCACTCTAGACCCGCAGCAATGAGCCAACCAATCACATTCTGAAACTGCTGACACCCAGGCCAAAGCTGACTTCACTAAAGACAGTCGACTAACAGAGTTTGGCTTTCTACTTACAGTTTCTAAAGGCCCACCTCCTCATTCTGTGTCACTTCAGACTTTTTAAAAACATGTATTTACTGTGTGCGTGTGTGAGCGTGTGCGCACGACATGCCTGCAGTCGCAAAACAACTTATGTGAGGTAATGCTCTCCTTCCACATGAGTCCTTTGGCTTGTGCTTAGGTTGTCAGACTCGGAGACAAGTGCCCTGCCTGCTGAGCATGCCCACTGGGCCCATCTTATCCCTCCTTGCCTACAGCTCTTCATCTGGTGGTGTCATTACGCAGTCTTGCTTAGGTGACCTTACTGTTGAGATGTCATGGGGACAGCTCCCCTACCATATCTAGAAGACATTATCTAGCAGCTGGCCTTCTGATCCTCTGATGGTTAGCTATTTAAAATTAGGCATTCAGGGATGGAGGGATGGCTCAGGTTAAGAGAACTGACTGCTGCTCCAGAGGCCCTGAGTTCAATTCCCAGCAACCACATGATGGCTCACACCCATCTGTAATGAGATCTGGTGCCTAGAATACTATATATACAATAAATAAATTAAAAAAATAAAATTAGGCATTCAGATAAATAAGAAATGCATGAATAAAATATAAGAAATTTTGCTATTTTGCTATTTTTGAGTGCGCTTTCTTCATATATTCAATATATATATATTCAACATATGCTATTATCATCAATATTATTTTGATAGTGCTAGAGACTGAACCTAGGGCTTCATGCACACTAGGCAAGCTCTCTACTACTGAGTTACATCACCTACCCTCTTTATACTTTTATTTTGGGACAGGGTCTCACTAAGTCATTCAAGCTAGCCTTGAACTTGTGATCTTCCTGCCCAGTCTGATGAACAGCTGGGATCACAGACCTGCACCTCCAGGCTTGGCTTAAATTTCTGCTATTTATCATATTCTCCGGATAATATCATTTCAGTTCTCCATTCCTTGGTTCCTTAAGCAACTCCTATGGAAACAATTACACGTCTTTCATAAGCCTATCTGAAGCTGCTTCTTCATTCTCTGGCCCAGTGTTTGTTCTCTGGCCTACCGTACCACTCATTCTAATGCTGACTTTGACTAAAGCAAATACAAAACCTATATTTGACTTGCACCAGCATTTTATGCAGAAGACACACAGATTTTCTGGTAGATGGAAACCACAGACATTTTACCCGTACTTCAATCTATCAACCTACCTATGTTTGTAATATAAATATTCCTAGACACGACTTTTCCCAAATACAGAAAGACATGAAACAAAACAAAAATAAACAGAAAATACTCCCAACTGCATAGGTGGTCTAGCCTGAGACTAGACAGAAGGGAACACTGGGCTGTTTCTCTTAGTAAAGAGGCATGCAGATGTACACATCTGTAATTCAATCATGGCATTAGATCTGACATGTAATTTCTAGGCTTAGGAAGGAGACCACCATCTTGAAGATAGACAATTGCCTGGTTTTATAGAAAAGCATCTTTTATCTGTTTGCATGGACAAACTGTCTGTGTATATCAGAACACAGATGAGAACAGAAGAATTCTGCCACTATCATCCACCCTCCTTTCTGAAGCCCAGAAGAAGCACTATTCCAACCACTGAGGAAATCAGTAGAAGTCAAGGAACTCTTACAGAATGGGAAAGAAATGCCGATCTTGGAAACACTAAGTACTTCTATGAGCAAACCCTGCTGATGTTGGAGGTAGGTCTTGTCATGGCATTTCACTTGTATTTTAATAAATAAAACTAACTTGAAGACCTGAAAAGCACAGCAGCCAGCCATTGGTTCCTACCTCGACCTCAGTCTGAAAATGGTGATCCTGCTTCTAGGAAACCTCAGAATGAGACTGTGACTGAGAGCTGTCTCCTCCCATTTTATATTCCTCTCTAGTTCTGGGATTAAAGGCATGCACCACTACCACCTGGTTTCTATGGCAAGCTAGTGTGTCTACCGGGATTAAAGGTGTGTGGTTTTTTGTTTGTTTGTTTGTTTTTTAAAACAATATAAATGCTTTATTTAATAGTCGCAGGTCATCATGGGCCAAGTGGTGGATACTCAGGACCCAGCAGGAAGGTCAGCGCAACCTCCGAGCCTCCCTTTCTGACTCCAATAGGGTGAGCACATCTCCCTCTCGAACAGGACCTTTGACGTTTCGGATGATGGAGGGGCTGGTGTCATCCATAAATTCCACATGTACCTGCATGCACTGTCCCTGCGAACTGGTCCTGCCCAGCACTTTGGTTACCCTAGTGAGCTTGACGGGCTGCACGCGACTCGTGTCCATGATGGCGGCGAGCAGGCGGACTAAAGGTGTGTGTTATTGCTACCTGGTCTATAAGGCTGAGTGGTTGTTTTACTTTTCTGATCCCCAGGCAAGTTTTATTTATTAAAATATAATGAAATATCACAAAGACTAAGGCAGAGAAGAAGCCAGCAGAAAACTTTAAGGTTTTCCTGCCATATCTGTACTTCCAGTTTTGTGTATGCTATGAGGACATTCACAAAGTGGGACTTGACTCTAATGATGGTGGCACATAAAACATGCTTTGAGACCTTAGCAAGTTGCTTTGCTAACGCCAGCCTTCTAAGTGTCCTAGATCTACAAACAATAAAGTTTGTATCATCAGCTATTGATCCTATGCAATTCGTTCAGTAACTCTCAGAGGTGTCCCTGTTAGTGTAATTTGCAAATAAAAGGACTGCAATATCATTTTGCCAATTAGATTTTGGACAATTGATGAAAATATACACCAGCTGCCTTTTGCCACAGTTTTAAGTTTTGCAACTACAGTTACCTAAAAACCAACCGAGGCATAAGAACATACATGAAAAATCCCAGAAAGAAGCAGTAAGTTTGAATAGGCATGTCACTGTAAGCAACACACTGTCCTTCCCTGCCTGCCATCAGGCGGCAACCAGCACTCCCATGACGACTATGCACTGTGATAGCTACATGCGCTCTCATGTCACCCTTGTGCATTGCCTGGGCACTGCCTCACAGTGACTAAGCTACAGCATACCGGTCCCAAAGTGTGCAGAGAGTGTTGCTGGCAAATCAGACTCATGGAAGGGACCTGGTGAAAAGATGAGCGTTCTCAACTTCAGAAAAAAAAAAAGCAGTCATGTATTAAAATAGATAGAACCTCTAATAGAGGATAATCCAACTGAGAAATACAGAGGTGGGGAAAATTACATCTGTGCTAATTTTACCAAACTAAGAAAGCATGATAAGCACTCACCCCCTGCCGCCACAACCTCAGCTCACTGAGGCCATCAGACAGCATGGGAAGCAAGGCAGACAACAGCACAGTAAAATAAACTTAGAGCTGGACCTGGGGCACAGGCTGTAATTCCAGCTACCCAGAGCTGAGGCAAGAGGAATACACATTTGAAGACTGAATTCACAGAATGAATTCAAGGCCAGTCTGAACAACTTAGGCAGACCCTGTCTCAGAAGCCAAAATGCAAAAATGGGACCGTAAATCTATCACAGGTTAGAGGCCCTAAGTTTATCCCCACCAGAGAAAACAAGACAGATGCGTAGAGAGAGCCCACACTCACGCAGCTACCACTGCAGGGCAGTGCTATGCTGTTCCTGCCCACCGTCCTCCCTCCCTCCTTCCATCTCATCCTGTTCCCTCTTCCCCTCCCCCTCCCCTCCCCTTCTCCTCTTTTCTTCCTGGCCACAGACGAGCAGTTCGAGCTACTACCCATTTCTTGTCACTGCCATCCAGCACCCTACTGTAGACTCAAAGCCACAAGCCTGCCTGACCTTAGACTGGGAGCACCTCTGGGTCTCGGATGCCAACTCCAAGCCTTTTTAGCTACAGTGACTCTGGATTTGCTGCTGACCACGCTGCGCCTCAGCTTTCTCTTCTGAAGAACAGGGGTGATGATGATAAATTTCACAAGGCTTTTAGGATTCATGCACAGAGGTGACTCAGAAAGGTCCCTAACACATAGTAGGCCCTCCGCACTAGCTCCAAATAGTCAGTCCCTGAAACATACACAGATTTAGTTCGCAGGGCTACCTGGTATATCTGATCCTTTCTGTAGCCCCTTCTCCGCAAGTCAGACCTTTCCCTGATAGTCTGTGTTAGGATAAATAGTGTTAAGAATACTATTGTGTGGCACACGCCCAATTCCTGCACACGTTCACCGTGAGCCTGGGCTGCACAGTGTGACTTTGCTGTGAACAAGCGACACCCACACAGACCTTTTTTCTCATGGCGAGAATACATAGGCACCAGAGCAGGGCTGGCCTCCCTCCTTACTTGTAGCACAGAATGTCCGCCGCCTGCAGCACTGGGTACGTGAGCAGTCCCACTGTCCCATCATGCTTCTGCCTTGCAGCCTTAGCCTGTAGAAACAGGAGAGAAGAGAAAGAAACCTGACGTGGACCCGATTATACTGCTCAGTTAAGACACTTTGAAGGGAGGCCAGGAGTGCTCTGAAGGTCCTGCAATAACACACACTCCGGCATCACCTGGCTGCTTACCATGGTCATGCTCTGGGCTCCAGAAGCAAGGGCAGCTTTTTACCATTTGTATCTTAGTTTATTCTCGGAGCTGGGGCAAAGCCCACCCAAGCTCTACCACTGAGCTACACACATGGCCCCTTGCCCCAGGAGGGATCCTGGACCACCTCTAGTGCACTTTCATTTCACTAAGGACAAAGGGATTTTCTAGATTCCAAATCAACTATGTTCAGAAATCATTACAAAATTAAATTTCTCAATGTTAACAGGAGTCAACTCTGCCCCTTACCACAAATGTTACTGGGTAAAGTTCATAAAAGATTAATTTAAAGAAGAGTAATTTGGAAAAAGAAACAAAATAATCTAATTTTTGAAATGTTGCTACCAGGGCAGGCAAAACAGTTCAATGGTTAAAGCGGCTTGCCACAAAGCCGGATGAGCCAAGCTCCATCCCCAGGACCCATATTCTGGAAACAGAGAGCTGATTCTGGGAAGGTGTCCTCTGGTCTCCACACGCCATTGCTTATCCTCCCCCCAGACATGATAAAGAAAAACATTAAAAACAATTAAAAACTGAAACTGTGTTGCATTAAATTTACATATAAATTTTATCTATCTATCTATCTATCTATTTATTTATTTTGTGTGTGGTCTTGTGCCTATACATGTTGGCATGACTGAAGGTACACCCCAAAAGCTTGCATGTAGAGGTCAGAGGACAACTTTTGGAGAGTCAGAGAGTCAGTTCTCTCCTTCCACTGTGGGCTTTAGGAACTGAATCCGGGTCATCAGGCTAGTGCTGATTCATCTTGCTGCCCAATTTGAGGATAAATTATTACTATTATTTTTATGTATTTGTATGTATCTATGTATGTGAGTAGGTGCCTGAAAAGCCAGAAAGAGGGTGTAGGATCCCCTCAAATTGGACGTACAGGTTGTTGTGAGCCACCTAATGTGGTGCTGGAAGAGTAAAAAAGACCTTATGACTCCTGAGCCATCTCTTCGGCCCTTTACTCCTTTACTTTTTATATTAGCATACTGGCCTTGCAATCACACAGGAGGCAAAGTGCTGTGGAGAAGACCAGTGTTTACTGAGTGCTGTTAATCTGCCATCCATGCTCTATCCAGCAACC